TTATCACTCTTGCTCTTCCTCCTCGTTTTCACTAGATTAATTCGATTTTGTCCGTCGTTGGGCTTCTTACGACGCGATTGGTTGATCGATGGTATCAGTGAATGGACGAGCTACAAGCATTGTACTTTTATAATTTATATCAACGTCGGACCAACTTTTGTACTTTTGTCTAGAAATTTTACGGGATTTGTACTCGTTTCATGCAGTAGTTTTACTATTTAGTGCAAGATTGTGTACATTTAAGCTTCCAAATAATACAAATGAAATTAATTCTATAAAATTCTATTTTCTTACTGGAAAATTCGCTGGTTGCGTTATTAAATAGAATTAGTCATTAGCTTGTAACTTGCCGTAAAATTGCGTTAATAACATTAATTCAATGGTCTAATGAAAAAGATGTAATCAATGTAATTTAATTGATTCTTCCATTTCTTTCGTTCCGTTGGAATCGCCGAAAGCTTCGATCGTCGAAACAAATGAACATTCAATGACTGCCTATCAGAAACGAGAGAGAGCGTCCTCGCTGCGGATAAGATGCAGATACGATTAATCATTGGCGGGCATAAAACGTGGTCGAGCAACTTTCGCTGGCGGACATTTCCCGGAAGCGCGCCGTCTAGCCATCTTGCTTTGTTCAGACACGAAAAAAGTCGCGGGTTGATGTTTTCTTTTTTTTTTTTTTTCTACCGCCGAGAAAGGTCCGGTTGCCTCGCGACCAGGTATTAGTTTCGCGAACGCGCCCCAAACCACCCCTCCGATGTCCATAATTAATTACACCCGTGCATGAAACCCATCAAGCAAACCATTATCGTACTTATATTATTATTTCTTTGCATCTTATCACTCGTATATTTATCTCGGACATTTCTCGTCTGATTTGATGGTCGTTGATTCTCGAATGATTAATAGCGCCGAGGGATGGCCCATCTCGATTTCTCGGAATTTTAATCAGATTTTTTGATTGGTGGAAATTAGTGCCTATTCAAAAATTAAATAGACTTCCAATTTGGATACTTGCAAGTTGAATGAAGACTTCGATTGAAATTTTCTCGAGTCAAGTTCCGCTTTCAGTTTGAAATTTTCCAATTCGAATCGCTTTTCCATTGCGAAAGTTTTCAACAAATTAAAACGCTGTTAAAATTTAACATCCCTCGAGTTAAGATTTCAGTTTCCGAGCGTTCGATTGTAGTGTTTTGTTGGAATGCTGCAAAACTGAACAATTGCAACGCGAAAACTTTCGAAATAGCTGCAATCAGAGCACCCAAACTGAAAATATCCAACTCGAGCATGTTCGACTCGAAATATCCTTCAATTGAAATACATCCATGATGTAATTACAATTCCATCATAAAAGCTGTGAATCTGTCTATATTGTTCACCGACGCTTCAAACTTCATTTCTTCTAAATGGGAACGCTTCTCAACTTTCTTAAAAAAAGAAAAAAAAATTTTTTTTAATTCTCAAGCGTGCAACGTTCGAACGTCGTCCTCGGTAAACCACACCCAGATCGAAGGAATACTGTGGTGGAGGGACGCGTGAACGTTCTAATCGCGTATTATAATATCTGCCACGTTGAAATTCAAAACACTTCTCGGCGACAGAGTTCGCCAGAGCGGAAGGATCTGTCTGATCTGGTTTCGCGTGCGATCGAAAGGGGTGCGTGGCACATCGGCCGCGACAGCTTCCAAGCGATTGCAACTTTGTCGTTCGTGCGTACGCCGCCGATAACGGAGCACGAACGCTACGGAGCAATAATTTTATGAATTTATCGTTTTCCACGTGTCCCGCCGACGGCGGATTGTGATTGCTTTCCGGATTTCGTTAATTAAGTCGTCCTTTACGACGAACATCGCCGCTCAATGGGCCATTTAATTGCTCGCAGGTTAATGAGCCACGTCTCCACTAACTGTCGTCGTAAAATCCGCTTGTGTTATTGAGAGTTAGAGCCCCGAGAGGCAGAGCAAAAGTGGCTCTATTCGAAGCGCATGTTCACGAAACTGGGACACTGGTTATGATTGTTCATGAGTGAAAATTGAAAAGTTATTGAAAAATTTCTGCGTTGGTCGAATGATTTTGGGTGTTGGACAGTTTGAACACTTTGAACCGGAGAACTTGCGAATTGGATGCATGGAATTTGAAGGATTGAAAATTGAGTGTGATGGACGCCTTTGAATCGAAAGCTACGTAAATTGGATGCTTAGAAATGCTCGGAACATTTCAAGTTAAACTCTTCCGAGTTGGAAGCTTCCTGAATTCGAGCTC